TCTAGGGACAATTTAAGGGTATTTATATAACTTCTTTAAATGATCCTAGTTGAATTTTTCACACGGTGAAGTTATTATCGATTTACAGTAGGAAATTTCGACGTAATATATACTGAGATATTATCAGTTCTTTTTCTGAACCTGGGATCTGAGCGAGCGCAAATTATTGTTTATAGATGCTCGGCTTTGGGTTGAATTCAGAACTGCACTAACATTTATCAACCACTTAGTAGCCAAAAATTTCAACTATTTTCAATAGAATACTGTTAACGGTGGGAAATATTAATCACAGGGCTATTATCTTATGTATTGCAATTAATACATTGTTCACGTAATTTATAGTATTAAGAAGATATATTCTGGACATATTCAACTTGCTCAACTAGCACATAGAAAATGAACACAAATTTAGACACCAAATTTATCAGCTTTATGGTTTATCAATAAGTAGTAATAAAACTGTCGTTACATCCTGCATAAGCCGTAACTAATTATAAGTGTTGATAAAACTATTTTAAAGTATCGAGTTAATTGAAAAGGTTACCGAAGCTTTATTTTGTAGTTAAAAACGGAAACATTAGGGGTATGTAAATAGTGTTGAATTATCTTAACACTTTGATCATGAGAAAATAATCGATAACTAAACTAGCTTTCAAATTTATAATATCGTCCATAAAATACTATGCTTTGGGTAAATGGTAGCATTTGGAAAGAAGATTTGGACTTCGTTTGCATGTTAATTAGCTCATGTCAGTAAAGCGTGTTATCGGTCTTGAAGCAACTAATTCTGTTTTTTTTGGGTTCCAATAAGTATTATCTACAATTAATATCAATTCTCTCCGGAATACCGGCATACTTTTGTCACAAACGCCAACCAGCACCAAACACAGGTCCAGAGAATCCCGTCTACTCTCTAAAACCACCTGACTTCAGAACAATGGACGCAATACAAGTTGGTCGATAAAATTTAGTCAACATCATAGATTAGACCAAAAGAGCACTAGTCATTATTTAGTGATGAACCAGTGTAACATAAAGTAAGGGGCTGTATTTTTCAGTTAGTTAAAAACAATAAATAATCTACATGTCGACCAAATCAATTCATATCGTTACTAAGTAATCCAGTAGATGATATACTGAGATATGAAGCTGTGGGTTCAGAGTTTGATTTTCTTTTTTAATATTAAAGCTGAGGGACGCAGATAAATTCGTCTGAAGAGTTTTAAATGGAACTAAAAGTGTCTTTACTATTCCAATACTAGTCATTATTGAAACTAAACATACTGATTCTACCGAAAGCATATTTATTAGCATACTTTTATGTGAAGTAGTTAAGTGATCAGTGTCCAAGTAAACTAATTTCAATGTTTCAAAACTCTCAACTAAACGATTTTCAAGAAAATAGAATGTAAGTTCAACAAACTTTTAAAATAATTTTGGCAATTTTGTGAAGTTTCTATTTAATTAGATCTCTGCTAGTGCAACAATACCTCATTATATTCTACATTTGAGTTATTACATGGTTAAAATTTGAGATTTAACCTTGAAATAAACTATGAAATGAAAACGGAAATTCACAAACGTTTTTTTAATAGGTTAACTAATTTATTCAGTGTTCACCTGAACTCTGTTGAAATTTCTTTACAATTCAAAATGCTTTTTAGGATCTAAGATCAATTCTATATTTTTCTGTTTTTTACGTATATTTACATCTAAAACCTAGTAACTTAGTAACAAAACTCATAACCATCGTTCCTTTCCGCAAAAAGAAAAATCACTAAATATTAGAAAGAATATAGTAGAAAAACGTGTATACGAAACTAGTTAAAGATGAATGTATAAAATTAATAATTTACAAGGTAATGAATAAGAAAAATATAATAAGATCATTAAGAATACAAAAGAAAGTGATATTTTAACTATGAAAATGAGATAAAAAATATTATTTCAGTTACTTAGTTACCAGAAACAGAAATAAATAACATTATATTAGATAGTAATTTTCTGGGTAAAAGATGATATGATATTCCTATGTATCTGAGTAGTCTTTATTATTGGCATCTGACTTGCAAGTTCTGTTTTAGATTATCGATAAAAACATAGATCTTCGGATATAATTTCATCACAGAATTATATCATGATACTATTTTTCAAGTTAAATCTACTAGTTTATTTCATATGAACTGGAACTAACAACAAAATCATTGAAAGCCATTATGGATTGCATAACAGTTATGTTTTAGATTTTCATTCCCTTTAATATATACAAAATCAATCTGAAATAATCAAGTCTTAAAATGAGTTAAATACTATTTAAACATAAGGTATAATATTTTCAAAAATTCTCTCATTTTGTAATTTTATGGAGTTTATCATCAAAAGTCATTGAGAGATATATTCCTTACTCCCTACTTAAATGATTCATCTAACAGTAGTTTCACACTTGAATTGAAGTATTGGTGAGCTGTTAAACCTTACTATGAGATTCTTCAACAGTGTGCTTCCATGGTACCTTTCGAGGTCGAAATCAGGTCCTTCAGTTCTCATGGTGAACACTTAACCTTTAGACTACTCATCTGGTATCTGAAGAGTTATTTGCTTATTTTCAATTAATTTTCAATGTTATATGATATTCAAAAATATCAACGAACATCTATGTTAATAACAATGATATTCTCAGTAATAACTGACCTCAAGATGTAATTTTCAGAGTTTTAGTGAAAAGCCGTGGCCATTAGAGTTCAAATGTGCCTCACGCCGGGCAGTTATTTACTGATAATATTGAGCGATATCGCAACTGACTAAAACTGGATATGTTAACCATACCGATTTAGTGGTTAGGGCTTGTCGAGAGGCTTGAAAATCATTTAATGCTATAACTGAACAACATTAGATATGGCTCAATGAAAGAGAGAAATAAAAAAATGTAGACACAGGAAAATTTATTCGATATTAAAAACAGATCAAAACTAAATGCATTGATTTCTCTGAAGTTACGTGAGTAAGCGTGACATAATCAAAGTAGAACAAAAACACTGAAGATTGACGATTTGACAATATTTCAAAGGAACATTCAAACTTTAACTCTATGATAAGTAAATTACCTAATACACTTTACAATGTTGTAATAAGAATTCTTTATAATGTAGTCGTGCTTTGGAATTCAATGATTAGATAATTTATTCAAATATGTTTTATTCATAGTAAATTAATTAAACTCTTTACAACAGTTTTTTTTTTACAGAAAAGAAGATAAATGATGCTAATGATTATCATCAATGTATTCTCGTAATTGGTGTGATTGATATGATCACAATCAAGCTCAGAATACCAGGTGTGTTTATCCACATCAGTCGATGATACAAAGTTAAAGAATGGTATTAAAAGCTTCATACAATAAAATATTCGATATAACAGAATATCAACACTATACTGTAAAACAGTGGAAAAGTAGTTCATTTAAACATCAATAACTAGTGAGTCTATAAACATAAGGTGGATTGGAACTTCTTATTATAACTTTGACTGTACAACTCTTGTACTTGTTACACGATTAGGCTTAGTTCAGCTACAATCAACATATGATTACGTGATCAACAGAAGTAAACCAAAAAAAATAACCATTGTTGTCAATAATACAAATATTGGCATATATGATCTCAAACTAAAGGATAAATTACAAGTCAGGAATGTATTTGAATGAAGAAGAAATAAATTTGTCAGTTTTGAAAAAATATTCAAAACATTACTGTAGATCTGACACAAACTATTAATAAAATGTAATTAACCAGGAAACTGGTTATTTGTACGATAAAATTTCAGCGAAAATAATGTTTCCATTTAAGATGAATAAATTGTACCTAAGACTCAACTCACTATTCTTGTTATCATTATAAATTTGATGATTAGAATTAACAGAGTGTATCAGTCAATCCATTTGTCAAATGATCTTCTCACGAATGCAACTAGATTTCATATTGAGATGATGAAGAATGTCTGTAAGTCAGAATGAGAATGTTTCATATCACACATCAACGATATACGTGGATATATCTTTAAAACTCTTGACTAATCTACTATGAAATATTTTATAATGTAACTGTAGCTAGTGTAAGATCCATTAGAATAGTATTATTTTACTCCACAGAATGAAGGAATCATTTAAAATTTTGTGATTAAAAATTCCGTTTTAACACCAATTTCATAAACAATTACACCTTACACAAGACAAAAATAATTGATAATTAAATACTCTTATGTTTAGCTATTGTATATATCAATCAGTAATGGAGATTAGAAATTCATGAGGTCTGCTTGTTGATGATTGTCACACTGTAGTGAACAAGAACACAGGTGGGGAAAATCGAATATATTTGGCCAGAAATTATAGAACTTCTTAATGAAATCTAACAATCATATAATAAATGCTTAATTTTCAAAATGTCCATCAATTGTGTTAAAATTACTTAGACTTCATTGTTCTTGCATTTTCATTCAAATTGCATTCTGTTTCTATTCCTTACTGTTCGATCTTCTTGTCTCTCAGCTGCCAGACATTTTGTTCCTAATTAACGTCATATACTACTTATGTTGACATAAGTAGCACACACCACAATACTAGGACAAGAATTATTTAAGGATTGATTGTAATGTGAGTGACATTTTATATTGATTCTAAGTGGTACACTTATATTATCTAAATGACTGAAATTAAAATAACACACAAAAGTTTCCCTCATTTTTCTTTTTATTTGACCATAGAGTGATCAATATATACTTTTGCAAATTAATATAACAAACCAGTAGGAAATCATTAATAATTTCTTTGATATACTATTGGTTTTCTATCTTGAGCAATGAAATATAACAAGTTGTCGAATAGAAAATATGAAACAGATTTTACACATTTCTACTTTTTTTTAAAAATCCCTTGTAATGAAAGAAGTGTGAATCTATGGAAAGATCAAATTCTTGTATCAATTAAATTCTTAGAAAGTATAATGAATAACTTGAAAATTCAAGAGAAATCATCTTCATCTTCTAATAACTACAATTCTGATAGAGCAGTAGCATTAAAACAGCATTTGGATAATTTACATAAACTAATAGGTAAGTGTAAATGTTTTATTCAAAACTAGTATTTCATACAACAATCTGATATGATCTACTTTCTATCCATATTAAAAATGAATTGAATGTAAACTAGTTGAGAATGATCAGAAATAGCGTCATTTTTTACAAAAGATAAACAATATAATATCAGAAGGGGTTTGTGGAGACAATGGTATATGGTGGCGCAACTTCGTGGATTGGTTGAAGTTATACATTAACACCGTCGGATGCCGGCTCAGTGGTCTAATGGTTAAGTGCTCGCGCGCGAAGCCATTAGGTCCTGGGTTCGGATCCCGCGGGGTGCGGGATCGTGGATGCGCACTGGTGAGGAGTTCCGTACTAGGACGAAACGGCCGTCCAGTGCTTCCAGGTTTTCAATGGTGCTCGAGCTTCAATTGACTCATGATTTCAATCTGTGAAACAATACAATAAACAAAGTTAATTAATTTGTTTTGTTAGTTTTACTTCTTACTAGATTGTTATTGTGAATAGTGTTTAAATTTGTAATACAATGAATGTGAATATGTTATACGGGAGCAGGGTGAATTTGTAAATATATCATCACTTTAATGATCGGTAATTGAATGAAAATACTAGAAAATATTAGAATTAATGGTATATAGAAGAGTAAAGGTTAATAAAAGAATTATGTTGATTATTTTTTTGATTTTTGGAGATTTTTTAGTTTATTTCAGTTTATGATTATAATTGTCTTTGAACAATACAATTTACTTACTTACTTATGTATGTTACTCCTCGTGGAAGAGCATAGGCCGCCCATTAGCACTCGCTATATTACCCTGTTCTGGGCAATCCTATCTAGCTCTTTTCTGTTGTTATTCATTCTTTCCATATTTGCTTCTATTTCACGACGTAATGTGTTCTTTGGCCTTAATCTTTTCCGCTTCCCTTCAGGATTCCAAGTTAGGGTTTGCTTCGTGATGCAGTTTGATGATTTCTGTAGTGTATGTCCTCGCCATTTCCATCATATTTTCCTAATTTCCTTTTCAGCTGGAAGTTGGTTTGTCCTCTCCCACAGAAGGCTGTTGTTAATGGTATCTGGTCAATGAATGTTGAGAGTTTTGCGTAAACAACTATTCACAAATACTTATACCTTCTTGATGATGGTTGTAGTAGTTCTCCACGTTTCAGCTCCATACAGTAGAACTGTTTTGACGTTCGTATTGGAGATTCTGATTTTAACATTGGTCGACAGACAGTTGTTTTCAGTTCGATATGTTCTTCAGTTGGGTGAATATATATTTCTGTTAGTGATTGGTGCTATATTCGTCTAGTCCTTGATTGCTTATCCAATTTTGCTGGTCATATTGCCACGTAACCATTAGTCAAAGTGACTCGATATCGGTTATATAGCGTGTACTGAATAGTTCAGTTGTAATGTCACAGACTGTGAAATTGGGTGATACATATTCTAATCGCATGGTGATCATTAGATCCCTCAAGTGTTCAGGTGAGCCTTACTGATAAATGTCAACTGGCACATAATTTCAGGGTTTCCTACTGACTACTTAATACCACCTAACACTAAATATGTTTTATTGTTAATATTCTTATTATTGATAAATCACAGATCTCTCATTCATTTGTTAATTGTTTTTTCTATGATTAACTACTTAATAAATTTTGAAAGTAGTTCATTGATTGCATCATTTTATTTTTTATTTAACATGTCGTTGTTTACTTTGATTAGCGAATTAACAGTATAATGATTCAATACCATTATATTCTGACATTGATGCGTGATTCGTTTCTAGTAATAATTGGTTAAACTGTTAAGTTAACTGTTAATATGAGATTTAGTGAAAAATGATTTATATGAACGCGCATCTTAAGAAATACGGAAATGTTACGTTTATAATCTATTTTTAAGATAGTGAGTAATAATACAGTTTATTACTTGGTTAAGGTATAGTTTGAGTGTTGTTCGTTTCGTTATATTACGTGACATCATCCAGTAATATGTTCATACAGCTCTACTGGTGAATCACACTAGAGGAATTCATAGTAAACTTAGATTGATGGGAACAATGAAAAATTCAGATAATTGTCATTTTTTTGACCTAAAATATTTGTATTCAAACAAGATTATGAGATATTTAATTATTATAACTGATAGGAAACTAAGATCATTCATTCTGTAAAAATATTCAGTACCACTTTAAATAAGTCTGGGTGTATGTATAAGTTAATCACATTTATTTAGTAAAGAAATATTATCAGAATAAATAGAACTTATGATTAATTTACATTGAATTTGAAAACACCATAATCTAGGCGGCCTAGTGAATTTACTTTGCCACGTGTTTTCTAACTGTTTAAATGTTGCTATACATTTACCTGTTTTATTTACGTACTTCCTTCTGCTACTCCCAATGAAACATAGGCCGCCGACCAGCATTCTCCAACCCACTCTGTCCTGAGCCCTCCTTTCTAGTTCTACCAAATTGTTGTTCATTTTTCTCATATCTGTCTCTATTTTTCGACGTAATGTGTTCTTTGGTCTTCCTCTCCTCCTTTGGCCTTGAAGATTCCATGTGAGGGCTTGTCTTGTGACGCAGTTGGGTGCTTTCCTCAATGTATGTCTTATCCACTTCCAGCGTTTCTTCCTGATTTCTTCCGCCTCTGGGGTCTGATCTGTTCTCTCCCACAATAGGTTGTTGCTGATAGTATCCGGCCAACGAATCCGGAGTATTTTGCGTAGACAACTTTTAATAAACACTTGTATCTTGTGAATGATGGCTTTCGTAGTTCTCCAGGTTTCCGCTCTATACAGTGGGACTGTTTTGACAATTGTTTTGAAAACGTTGACCCTTGTGTTGATTAACAGTTGTTTTCAGTTCCAGATGTTCTTCAGTTATTGATGTGCTGCTCTTGCTTTGTAGATCCGCGCCTTCACATCTGTATCAGATCCACTGTGTTCATCAATGATGCTTCTCAGATATGTATAGGTTTTTACATCTTCCAAATCTTCTCCGTCAATTTTGATTGGATTGGTGCATGCTGTGTTGTATCGGAGAATCTTACCTGTTTTAGGATTGTCTTAACTAATCATCTATGCATGTTAACCGACTAATATAATCATATGCTCTTTTAAAAATCTTTTTAAACTGGTCTCAGTGTATTCGCCATACAGTTACTGAAATGGGTCTAAAAACAGTTGATGTCTAAAAGTTTCGAGTAGTTTGTACAATATGATTCTAAATGAATGAAAGTTTTCAAAACGTTTATGATGATAAACAATCACAGTTTGTTGATGGATATTTATAAATTTTAGCTTTTATTAAATAGCCATGAAAGATGACTTTAAAGATGTTTGATGAGGTATTTATTTCCGTGATTTACACAACGCACTAGTTCAAGTGACCCTTGAAAACCAGGAAGAAATGAAGCTGTACAGAGTTCCATCTTATCTTAGTCGTGGAGTGTAGGCCGCCAACTAGGATTTTTCAACTAACTCTATCCTGTACTCTTCTTTCCGCTTGTTCCCATGTGCTGTTCATTCTTTTATGTCTGCCTTTAATCCCTGGCGTAATTTTTTCTTTAGGTCTCCCAATTTTCTTTTTCCTTGAGGATTCCTGATTAGGGTGCGCTATATGAAGAGGGTGTCATACTAAGAAGAAATAGCTATCGAGTACTTTTAGGTTTCTAATAATTGTCTAGCTAAGATCAAACCGTAATGCAATCTATGAAAATTCTACAATCTCAACAAAATCCAATGAAATATCTATTTGTTGAATCTAAAATGTAACTCGATTTTAATTCATGTATATATTAGTTGTTTGAATTTTCCTATTGATGTTTAAAACTGAAGATGATTAGTCTTTTTTGGTACATGTGCATCCTTAGCGGATCTCATTTATATTACCAGTAAGTCACAAACAATTTTAAGCCAAGTGAATATTAACTATGGGATGCAGGTATATCCAGCTGACGAGTCTCAAACAAGACGAAACGCGCGTCCTAGACTCGCCTGATGTTCACCATCCATCTCTGATTAAAAATAATTTGATTCTTCATTCAATTATTGTATAATAATGTGTTCGGAACAGATAATTTATTTTATTATAAACTACAAATAGTTTGGTCAATAAATATTATTAGTATTCCTTTTCTAAAAATATCAGTATATACTTGAGTTTGCTTTCATAAAATAAATGAAGTAATGTGTTTTTTGACGGGTCATTTAAAGTTAAATTGTTGTTATGTTTACTATAGCTACTAAGTAAGGACAATAGTTTCCCAAATAAGTTAGTATTTTTTTTAAAAACACATGTAATAAACAAGCTGGTATTATAAAATTTATTGAACACGAGGAAACATTAAGTAGTATTTTCAAAAATGCCGAAAATGTTGTAATGATTTTTAGTGTCATAGGGCGGTTATTCTCTGTAACATCTTATTATAAAAGATTATCTTTCTTTCATTGAAATAGTATAACACTAGAATTCGATGGTTTATATTGTAGCTCTAGTAAAATTTATTTTCATGATTCTGATAGTTAATTTAAGGTACTAACAATATTTGTAGATTAGATAGATAGTGAAGAGTAGGGATGAGTATTGTGTTCTGTTAGCCAGATGATTTAGTCATGAAGCCTTCACTGTCTTTCTCGATCACATAGCGCGTACTTCACAAATGACTAATAGCTTGTTCAGTTGATATTGAATTTAATTAGTTGTCCATAATTGTGCTGTCTCTGTTTGTAAGTTTGTCTTGATTATTTTCTATCTTGAACCTGAAGCTTTCAGAATATACAGAATGAAAAACTTATTAACTAAAGATGGGTTATAATATGAATGTAATAAGCTAATTAAATGCATAATTTCTGAGATATTAATCATGAAGATAGTTGGGTAAACTATGGCAAATGTAGCCAACTACAAGGAATACTTCCAAATTGACTATAGTTTCACGTAATATGATTACACAACACTCAGGTTACAGATAGTTTATGATTATTGTCTTCATCGTTTGTAATTGTTTGCTGTAATCCTTTGTGTTATATCCTATAGCCTGTCAATTATCACGTGACTGGATCGCCAATCAGAACACCGACTTATACGATCCTGACCCTGTGCCAAACAAATAACTTTTTAACTAACCCAAACAGCTTAGAGACAACTCTGAGTCCTTATTGGTTCTGCTTGTCTTACCCTACCCGTTAAGTCCAGAATACAATCTCAGCTTCCACTGTACGAATAACGTATTTCAGACACACGCAGTTTATATACAAACAAATCAGATCGAATCCTAAAATAACGTTAAAAATAACAACCATCCAAGATCGAGTCATAAGTGGTTGTGGGTGTGAGAGACGGTAACTAATATATCGAGATTAGGTTAAAAATGGTATCGTAATGGTATCATAATAGCCAATGTGTTAGATGAAAGAAATGCATACATATATATGTAACAGTCCATATACAATTTTTAGCAGTAACAAATAATTCATCCTTAGTTAGGATATTACACTTAGCACAGAGGATACAATATTTCTTGAAAAGTCTTAGGAGTGAATAATAATGCTTATGATGAGCGACAACCTTCAGTTTTACAGATATAAGTCTTTCTTATTACAAGACGGTAATGTTTACCTAAATCACCGAATTAATCAAACATTAAGAAGTCGCTATTTATCCTGTTATTTATACGAAATAGTAAGAAAGGTTAGTACGTTTTGATTCACATACATTATATGATATTGTCATACGAAAAATAAGTTTATATAAAGAGCACTCATGTATTTAGTCATAGATGACTGAACTAAAAAATATTCAATAGCTATTTGCATTGGTTCATTTTAGTTAAATATCTCTAAACAAACGATTTTTTTGTTTTCTACTCCTATTTTTTTTACATAGTTACTAATTTTTCTAATTTCGTCAATCAGTATGAAGAAGAACAATCAACTGAATGGATTAAACATTTGGATAAATCCAATCAAATTATTGACTATAAAACTCCTTCATATGACTGTCTTTACAAGTACACTCTAAATGGTATATTAACAAAAAAATTAAAACCTACAGTGAAATCCTCTGAAAGTAATTCAAAAACCGATGAGAAGCAAAGTAATGACTTTATAAATAACATCATAGATGAATCAGAACAAAATAAACCAAATTACTCTATTGATATAAATCAGTTTACTTTAGCACCTCTATGGTCTTCTGAAGATATTTCCGATAATTATAGTGAGAATGAAATAGACAAAGAAAATACAATAAATGAACAAATTTCAAAGAAACTATTATTTCATGAAGACATGAATACAACTAGGACATTAATCGATATTTATAAAGACAATTGTATGAAATTGAAATGTAATGCAATAAAATCTATTATTAATCGGTTAGAAAAATTATGTACAACAAAATATATAAATTTTTCTGAATTACACTTAAGCAAGTTAAAATTTCAACCAGTGAGTAATTTGTTGAAGGTATGTTCTGTTCTTTTTCTTTGGTTTTAAAGAAATATTAGTTTATATAAACTTGGACAGAATTATGTAGGTCAACTGAATAGAATTGTCTCTTATCATAATCAAAAATCTTTTTTATCATAAAATAATTTAAAATGACTCAGTAATCAAAGAAAACATATGACTAGTTTCTATAAATCTCATAGAGTAAATCATATAGATGTGATGTTCAGAGTATTTTCAAACTGGTTTTCTAGGTCAACAATTATTCTACGATACTTTTTATGATATATTTATCTAATATGTAATGAAGTCCTTAATGGGATTAGGTGTTTACTACTTCAAAGAAAATGATGATGATGTCGTTCAGAAGAGCGATGAAAGCTCCACGACCAAACTATCCAGCTCAGAGAACAAAACTCCACCAAAATCATCCACCTGAGCTACAAATCTTCACCATCTCATAATTATACAACAGGACTTACTCACGTTTATCAAATTAGAAATGTTCACCATATTTACACAAAAATATGATACGATTTTCGAAGTTTTGCCAGTAAACTCTCGTTTTTTTAGTGAAACTATTGAACTAGAAGGAATGAATAAGTTTTCAATACAATTCCTTGTTGTCTCAGAAATGAACCGAAAAAATTCCTTTTTTATTGGGATTCTTGGCCACTGTGTTTTAAGAAACATGAGGAAATTTTAAGGAAAACTTCCACTATGGTCATATATGATCTACAGCATTATTTGGACAACCACAGAGAACTGGACTTTTATTTTGAGATGAACAGTAATTATCCAGAATGCAAATTTTCTGAAAATCGTAGTTCATTTAAATTAGTCAAAAATTTATTGTCTAGTAATTCTTCATACCTCACTTGAAGAGGAAAAGTATGATTAAGTGTGATTCATTTTCAACAGGGGATTACGACAGCCTTTTTTTTATTATTATATCTATTCAATTTCTGTATAGAAGTCGCATATGTTCCTCGGAAATCTCAGTGTTAATGTGTCGACTACAACTATGGATTTGTTTGAAAGCTATTTTAGCACTGGAACTGATATAAATAATAATATACACAATATAAACAGTTTACTGATTGTATTCCTTATTTTTCCATTATGTTTTATGAGTTGTTAATTGCTAATCATATTCCCACAGGCTTTAAGTAATTTTTTTAAAAACATGTGCTTCAATTTATAATTATAATTTATATAACCAGATATCAAGTTAATAAATGTTTGGTGATGATTATCACTTATCAGTAAGGAACCAATTCTTATCGAAGGATTTATTCATGCGTCAGCGGATATCAAAGCCAATGATGTCTAAATTTCTGAATCGTCTAGACTAATGGGCATGTAGTACGATGATTGATACAATCCAATCGATATTAAGGACCAGACAAACGACAACCGGTGTACATAGATTAATCATCATAAAAAGGAAGTTCAAAAAGAAAACAAATAAAATGCTGAAGAAACATTCTATAAATTTATTTTCTACTTGGTTCTTCTATCAAATGAAAGTTTGAAAGGTTCTAGAATCCCATCCATATGTTAAATTCATCATCCTAGTCTTAACGGTAATAGATCTTTGTTGTATTTGTCAATTTTTTGTAAGAGACTCTATTTAATCTCATACAAGTAAGGAGAATCTGATAATGGAATATTTAGTTAAAATTATCCGTTTTGTTAGCCGTGAAAACTTTCATCATGTCCCGTAGAAGTGTTAAAATTTTTGTAAAGTAGAGATTATATAAATTATTTGCTTTCTGTTAGTGATAACGATTAGCAACTCTGTTTGTCAGTTAGTTAGCTACAACGTAAGATCAGACACATATGTGCATGGTTCCAAGTTGCCACACCTAATTAGCACAACAAGATAAACACCGAATTCGTAGAAGTAGTTACCTCAATACTAGTCATGTATAAAAGAAAGATTTTGTATAAGGAAATAATGCAGGGAGCAAGAATTAGTTCATAGAAAGAAAATTGTAAAGTGATTTTAATCTCATTTTCTAAGGGAAGATAAAGAGTGTATACACCTACGCCATTGTGATTGATTTTGAGCCATGTCACTCAGAGTCTCCAACCATTGGTTACGATAGTCGTATGTACTCCAACCAAGTAGTTTGCTACTACCAATATGATTTAGACCAGAAGTTAGTGACTTTTGTTTGTGGGCAAATACGATTAATATACTATCATAAGAAAAGATTCAAATTGTTAATTTGATCACTGGATAGTTGAATCATAATAGGTGATTATTTTGAAAGATCAGCCAAACAATAAAATAGAGGTAAGATTAAGTTGTAGTCATTAAAAAGAGTTAGTTAAACGTAAAGAGATCAAGTGTAATATGCATGATGATGATGATGATGATAAAAATCACTTTTAATTACTGACTATATTTGAAAAATCTTGTTTTTTTTAATTATTTTAAACATAATTCCAACAGGAGTGTAATGAATTGGAAATATTGGATCTGAGTTATAATAATTTTGATAATGATGGACTCATATTAGTGAAATATTTACTAGAAGAATTCGCATTTCTTAGACATATCGTACGTTATTAATACAATGATAAACATATTTTTGTAAATTATGATTTTTTAAAAAAAAATTACATCACGAAAAGATCTGAGTTGTAGGATGATTCAAAATGTAAAATTTGAGACAGCGGTTTATTTCTACTATTGAACTTTTAACACTTGGCATCGATGATATAACAAGATATCTTGTAGTATCAAAGTGAATAAAGTAGCTCAAGATAAATCATATGATATTCACTGGTCTGTATTCACAATTGAATTCATTACTTGGAATGGTATGAAATGTCTTGCTTGAGTCATTTTAACAAATATCTGTATACGTTTATTGAAGTGAAAAAACAATTATTAAAAACAGGATTCTAAAAAAAATAAGATAACCCTTAGGACGATATATAAGTGTGTGAGTTAAATATTAGTATGGTTCACTGAGTAACTGCCCATATATTTATAAAATTATAAGCTAGGGTTTAGTCTATTTTATGACTTATGAGAGTCTCGTAGGTTTTGAAGAATACTTAAACTTCACGGATTTATTTTATTGTTTTTAGCAGTTGGAGAGATATCTAAACTAGTTTATTTTCGTATTCGTTATGCTGCAGATCATCACACTTTAATAAAACAGTTTATTAAAATTCATCGTTGATGTATTTTCAAAACCGCATAAAGATATGGCATAATTTAACTGAATATAAGGTGGTGAATTTACCGTCAGCATCTATGTAAATCATCGCTGTTTAAGAAACTGAAAGATATGGATCATAATTAATTAAAGATAACTGGACATTAAAAATTCCACTGAAATATGATCCGTATAGATAGGTATTAATTATTGGAACTTCATACATTAGATCACTATCGACGTAAATACGTTGAATACATAAATGTCACTATATTGATACAGGTAATTTGTTTTTATTTATCGAAATTACTTATATTGGTCAGTGATTTTTATGATTTTGTCACTTTCTGAATTGTCCGTGTGCATGGTTTATTTTTTTCCACCAGAACCTTTCTGGCAATCATCTGAATCAAGAAGCTTTCGTTTTGCTGCAATCGATACTAACTAAAAACACCCAAATGGATACATTAATTTTGAAAGTTAAGTTCCTGTTTTATTTTTGCTCAGGATCATTTACAAAACTGTGTGGCATATCAAAAACAAGCGATACTTCAGTTCTACAATTTTATGTCATTAAGAAGGAACGAATTGAGCGAAGAAATTTCTTTTCGATTAGATAACCTGGTTGACACAGGTCATCAAGTAGAATTGAATAAAGCTTTTAAGTTTATCTACAATATCCCATCAAATTTGCCCCATGGTTTACGAGTGCGCCTCTTGCACATTGCGGAAGCCATCGCAATCCATGTTCATAAACCTGACCTTTGCATTCAAAAGAGATTCGTACAACCACTTTCTCTGCCCTGGCCATCAGTTTAAGATTTCCTTCAAAAGAACTATTTTTCATACTTCTTCCACTTTTTTTTAACTTTTGTAATTTTGCTTCTGTTGCTTTTGAACTTGATAAATTCTCAACATTCATCTCTTGATTCTTACGTAACTACCATCCTATTGACCATCCGTTAAAATTCTGTTCCTTCTTTTTTTTAGAAATTTTCACAGATTTAAATCATGAGTCAGTTGTTTCTTTTCGCAACGTAGCAACTTCTTAATCACTTTGAGTATTAATAATCCTCTTCCAATTAATCAATGTTCATTTAAATGTCATTATGTAATTATTACGTAACATATCTACTCGATGAGTATTATATTATTATTGTAAAACGTATATATATTAGTGTAGAGCCATGATGAAAAACTAATTGAAAAGAAATTTCTTCGCTCAATTCGTTCCTTCTTAATTCACCAAATGACAAAATGGGAATTTATGTCATTAATTTGGTTATTGAAAGAGTGATAGTGATTACGAAAATGTCTAGCCCGTCTAAAGACATTTTTCAATGAATTATAAAGAAGATAAAATCTAATGATAGCCTTAAAGCCATTCATAAGTTTGAGTTTAGTTATAACGAAAATGTAACACATGATAAGAATGTTGATCTGCTTACAGAAATCATGTATGAAACATCAGGCTAAAGGTCAGTGTCTATTGCAACTAAATGAACTGTTGTTAAGTGACAATTAACACTTGTAAATATTGTGTTTCTTCACAATTGAGATAGTTCTCAGTACAGGATTCAATGTTAAACCACGTTTGTAAACATGGGCGATCGTCTCGTTTAGGTATGGGGCTCCTCAGCAACGCGCATCGACGGTCCCAAACACGAGATTCGAATCCAGGACATTCGGTCTTGTATGCGAACGCTCAACCTCTAGGCCTCTGAGTCAATCTGAACTAAAGCTTCCAGGTTTTCAATGGTGGTCCAACGTTGATTGATTCATGAAATCAATCAAAACTTTAAATAGCTATTACCTATTACTTCTATCATATTCTCACCTATTCCATGTAATACATGAAAGCGACAATTTTGATAATTTCGTGTGCTAGTAAACTACGAAAAAATCATGGCAAAGAAGTCAAGTGACAATTACTGCTTCAACTACGAAATTCATTATTCTGTATCAATTTGCGAAAATTTCAATTACAAATTGTAAAATAATCTGTAAACCATGGTTTGACATTTTTTAAAAGAAATTTTCTATCTTAAAATTTTCTTTGTTTTTATATTTAAATCAAATATTGCCAGAGGTCTTACTGATCCATTGAGATTCAATGCTTATCTATCCATCTAATTTTAGATGCAAGAATAAACGATACTGGTGCAGTCATGATCGCTAGTGGTTTAAGAGTAAGTCAAACTGTAGCACGTTTTATATAACTCCAGCATAAATCAAATTATCAGTATAGGGATTGTGGAGATTGTTAAGTTTTGATTGAGGTCATGAACCGATTGATGTTAGACTACCACTGAAAACCTGGAAGCACTGGACGGCCGTTTCGTCCCATCCTGGGACTCCTCAGCACTACGCATCCACGACCCCACTTAGCGGGATCCAAACCCAGGACCTATTAGTCTCGTGCGCGAGTGCTTAACCTACTGAACCACTGAGCCAGTATCCAACGGTGTTTATGTCTAACTTCAACTAATCCACGAAATCGAGCGACACATCCACCATTGTCATCAGTGAGTTGCTATCTCACAACTGACCCGGTTGAACTCTACCTGTCAGTATTTCTCACTAGAACTCCAGGATATACATGTTAAAACCAGGCACTACTGAGCATATGTTGATTAGTATCAAAAGGGGCTTTCTGGAGATTTTAGTAATTCCAATAGTTGAAATCATGGGTCTATTGAAGCTAGACCTTCATGGAAAACCTGGAAGCACTGAACGGCGTTTCGTCCTATTGTGGGACTCCTCAGCAAATACATTAATGCATGTATTATTTTGGCCTTTGTAATATATCACAATAATTATGGACTTATAACTGTAGATCCTGATGATTAAGTTATTGAAAGCAATTGTCCACTCAAATACTCTTCAATTTGAAATATTCTATGGAGATTCTATGTTTATGGTTGATGAGTAAATGAATGTATGTATTGGATAATGTTAAATTCACCAGAATAGATATTTACAGTTTTCAATGTCTCATAGAGAAGGATTAGAATGATCTTAGAATTCAGTTGTTACATTTCTATAAATTTACAAATATGATGTAGCTTAATTAAATATCTACCTACTTTGCTTTCAAGTAATGAATATCATTTTATCATAAATACAGGAAAGAGTCCAGTGTTTAGAATAAATACATCGATTCTGTTTACCTAAATGATGCTAATCAGAAATTCCAATTGATGGATGGATTTTCAGATTTATTTGCTTGTAGTGTTTTTTCGTCACTATCGCCTTCTTAGTGCAAATTGGTCTGGGCAATATATATTGTCGCGTTTGAGGCATACTGTTGAACAGAATTTACGGTAAACTGGTTATTATGATCACCAAAATTTTGCTATTACCCAGTTGATACATAACTAGTTTTTATAAGATCCTACTAGTTATTTGATTTGAAGGCTTTAATCATTTTAAGATGTCTTTGAATATATAAGTGAAAATACACTTTACATCTTCCCAAATGGTTCAAACTGAATTATATGAGCAAGCAGAAAGCAAAATGGTTTTTTCTTCATTTGGATTGTTAGTTAACTGTTTTATAGACTATTGATATTGCTGCTATTATATCAAATGTTTATTCTGAGAAATTTCTAGAATATTTCTTTTTTTTTACTTTGTTTGTCGTATTTATTGCCATATGTTTTGTGCCAAATTCAATTTTGTGAATATCGGTATAACTTCACATAAGCTCACTTGTTGCATGCTAAATAAAAAGAGAATTCAATAGAAACATAAACAAATAACAGACGCGTAGAATAACACAAAAGTTAACTATAAAAACAAACAATCAAATGGTTGTATAATTTCTTTTATTTTTATATTAAAGTAGTCACATCGTAATTTAATGAAATAAGGTTGTAATGTTACCGGTTTCGAATAACCTAAAGATAATCATCTACTTCTTTTTTTTGGTTAAATCTGAATATTTTGATCAAGAATTCAAAACATCATCAAACATGGGCTATAAATAAACATAATAAGAATAAATTCATAAATGTTTTCGAAAATATATAGAGGTCAGCAGACAACTATATATCAAAGATATTAGGGACACATCTATATGTAACAGGGATTTTGAAATAACTGTTAGGTGTTACGTTCGCTGCAATACGGAAAGTCCTGGGTTTGATTCTCAGTGGAGTCATGGATCCACACCGCTGAGATTCTGATACTTGGATGAAACAATTGTAAACTACTATCTGATTTTTAGTGGTTGTTTAACTAAAGGTAAAATGTGATGTAAATTAAATTTGTATTTAATTTGACAGACAAATACACGTTTGAAAGTGTTAGATCTATCGAAAAATCTTATACGGTGTGAAGGAGCTTTAGAAATTGCTAAAGTCTTAGGTAGGTTAATATTATTAATACAATAACATTTTGATTCAATATACAGCCAACAGCATTAATTTGCAATGGCTCAGTTTACACTGGAATCAAATACGTTCAAGTGGAGCCTTTGAATTTGGAAATTCATTAGAGGTAAGTTCATTCATGACAGTAATGAGTATTATTGGAAATATCCGGGAAATCAAGGTCATTTCTTGTCCACTAGTAAATACACGTATTTATCGTACAAACTTTTCAGTTAAACTTTGAGAAATTAAAGAATAATATATAGAAAAACTAATTATGTGGTGGGTGTTTTTAGTCACTATCTCCTCTTAATCATATTTAACTTGAAATGCTACTGCACACATATATATACCTGAAAAGAATTACTTGATTTTTGAGTACGAAATAGCTATACTGAATCATCTCAGATGCTGGTCAAATAATGTAGTGATAGGATTTTTATTTACCAATGGCAAGAGTGGTTTATTCAAGGTTATACGACACTTTATTATTTGACAAATGTCATGTAGCAAGCTAATGACAATAGAATCGTGATTTATTCATATATACTCCGGGATTTTGTGAACTTGGCATCTGTGCTAGTTGGAACTCGATTGTGAATCCTATCCTTATTTTCTAAAGAAGTGAATTCGTACCATTCTGTTTTGAAAAAAATGGCTCCTATTAGGTTGTTTAGGTCGCAGCTAACTTCACATAGTAACTAAACAGTTGAACACCTATTAATCATTTGTTGTCAATAAAAATAGCAATAGTAATAATGTTATTTTTATCAAGTATTGAGTACTGATTTCATCTTATTAACCGTGTTACAAAGTGATATTATGATATGCTGACTCAAACTCCAAAGCGTATATCATATTGATGATTTAAAAAATGTTTACCAGTCATCACCAAGCTGAACAGAAACTAGATTTTGAGGCGTTTTCCAAATGGTCACCAATCAGTTTATATAAAACAAAGTTCAGTATAATATCTAGGCACCTGGAGTAGTGACTACAGTAAGATCATAATGACAACCTTGAATTACAACAAAAAACAATTTGTAGCCTGTAGCCTGTAACTCTTCTAGGGTTACTGACAGTTCGAAGCCCACACAAAGGAGGAGGGTTGAGCATAGGGTCAGCAATCCCACCCCGTAAAGCAACCTTGCTTAAACACGCTAGCCAGAAAAACAATTCAAGCCATTTAAACTCTGTCCTCCGCGATGCAGGATCTTCTTTTGGAAGAATTATAACACCTCATGATGAAAGCCGAGAGCGACTATGGTGTACCTGAGATCTCCAATATCATTCAGAATCCATACGATGGACTACAGTGCAAAGTGATGCATGGAGAACAGCTGACCGATTCATTTCAAGTGAACAACAGTATCAAAAGGACTTCGCATTCTCTCCCTTTCTCTTTCTTCTGCTGGCTCGCTGGACTATAAGGACCTGAACATGTGAAAGTATGGAATACAATGAACAGGTCGGAACCAACTAGACGATTTGAACTTCACAGATGACCTGACCCTTATATCCCATACATACGAACAAAAGCGGATAAAGACAACTAGTGTAGCAGCAGCCTCTGCATCAGTAGGCCTAAACATACACAAAGGAAAAAACAAAATTCTTAAATACAACAAGGTGAACATCAACCCAGTGACACTGGGTTGAAGTGGAAACGTTCAAGTATCTGGGCAGAATCATCGATGAACGTGTGGGATCTGATGTAAACTTAAATGCGAGGATTGATAAAGCAGCAACAGTTGAAGGACATATGGAACTCAAAACAGCTGTCAACCAACGTGAAAGTCAGAATTTTCAATACGAACGTCAAAACAGTTCTACTGTACGGAGCTGAAGCGTGGAGAATTCCCATAACTATCATCAAGAGAGTATTAGTATTCCTAAATAGTTGTCTACGCAAAATATCCAATGTCTGTTGGCTGATTACCATTAGCAACAACTTACCGTGGGAGAGGGCAAACAAACTTCCATCTGAAGAGGAAATTAGGCAAAGACTTTGGAAGTGGATAGAAAACACATTGAGGAAATCATCAAACTGCATCACGAGGCAAGTGCTAACTTGTAATCGTAAAGAGGGATCGAAAAGAGGGAAATCTAGGAAAACATTGCGTTGGGAATTGAAGGCATACATCAAGAAAATGAATATCATCTGGAAACAAGTGGAAAGAGTACTCAAGGACAGGATTGTTTGGTGAATGCTAGTGGATGGCCTATGCTTCTCCACAAGCAGTAATAGACGTAAGTAAATTTTGAGAAATTTGAAACTGTAATCTATATTAAGTTGTGCCACATGTATTATATTATGAATCACTGAGTAGAGATGTTAATCTCTAATTGATATGTCTCTGTTTGTATTTTTGTTTTTGAAGTGCAACAAGTCACTTTTGTACCTAGATATTTCATGGAATGGATTTAATGGAAAATGTTTGGAAAATCTTGGCAAAGGTTTGAGTCGAAATTGTCATTTAGAAGAATTAAACTTGAAATATAATCGTATTGATTTAAAGACTATTATCTCATTTGCAGACTGTTTATACACAAATAAATCCTTAAAGAAATTATGTGTAAGTAATATTGGAATACACATTTATTTCATTTTATTAAACTATCGTTGCTTATAAAATAATTGTTTCTTTATCAAAGTACAAATTTGCTAGATGGAAAGATAAGCTATGATTACAAAGAGTGAATTGGATAAATTAAACCCTACTCCTGCTTTTGTGATGAAGGTAAGAACAAATTTAACTTCGGTTAAGAGTTGTATTCGTAGTACAAAAACAGCACACAAAATAATGAAAACTGAATGCGCTTAAAGCTTGAAATCACTTTCATATTCCTAGAAAATTATTTGTGTCTTGCCAAGTGATTGGTTAATTCCAAGTAACCTTGCACTGGTACTCTTTAGTATAGGTTTGAAAATGGAAAATAATATATAATGTAAAACTTTGTTAACAGATTACAATAAATTTTTAATAGTGATTTAAATGGAAAGAATTTTTTGACATGATTCTGAGAATTCAATCTATCATCTTGAATGTCATTTAATTCATTGTACGAAAACCGTCTGAATTCATTACGTAGGTCTCTTACTTCGTTGCATATATGTTCGAATAACTTTTTTTCTGGTTATCGTCTTTTTAGCGAGTTAGTTTTCTGCGGGATGGGGTCACTAACCCCATGCCCAACCCTCCTCCTTTATCCGGGCTCGGGACCGGCAGTAGCCCCAGGAGGGACTCTAGGCGGAGTTATTACATATATTTCATTAAAGATAAATATGAGGTTTGATGAATGACTAAAATGTTATAGAATGTATAGTCTCTTATGTACTTTTAAAAGTCGTCTGAGTCAAATATAATATCCATCAACAGAATGAATCTAATATTTAATGAACTCAGAAGTTAAACCACCATGGAAAACACGTTATTAATTACTACCCATATTAAACTTTGGATTTCATAATTCATAACCATACATTCAGTAAATTAGTGTTATTATCAATAATAAAATAAACTAATAAATTGGATTTTCAATTTTAATTTATTATTTATCTAGCTTGGTTTCAATCCATTGACAATGGCAGGTATTCATGAATTAATTTATGTAATTGAAAACTCAACACAATGTATACTTGAAGAATTAGATTTAGAAGTACGTCTATATTTTATTACTTCCTCCTAACATATTTATATGATTGCAAATGTTTACTTATATTAAATTCATTCATGATGTGTAGGTCAATGATTCATTTAATTAGTTATTATGTATCTAGAAGACATCAAGCTTAGGTGTGTGTTTTTCGGGATTTTATTGAAACCATGAGCTGATCTATGTAAAAACCTAAAGGCACTTGATGCTCGTTTCGTCCTAATATAGGATCCTATAGCAGTAAGAATCCACGATGCTTCACACGGAAATAGAACAAAAGATTTTCGATCTTGCGCACAAACTTTGAACCTCTAGACCATAAGGTCGGAATCCAGCAGTATTTATGTCTAACCTCAATCAATCCATGATATTGCGCCACTATCAATTATCGTCTTTGGTGAGTAACTGCCTCATACTCTACATGGATTAGTTCCACTGGTCCTAGGTTCTCACTAAAATTACGGAGATTTCTTTCCAAATTGGATTGATTAAAGTTAGTTATCAACATAGTTTACAAGTTCAGAGTTTGCACGCGAGATTGGATACCCTTTTTTCTGTTTCCGTGTGAAGCATAGTGGATGCGCACTACTGTGGGATCCTATACTAGGATATTAATGGTGGTCTTACTGAGGTCGGTTCATGATTTCAATGAAGTTCAATGATCTCCGCAACCCCATACTTAAAATTGTGGGATTTGTTAAAGACCAAAAATGTGAAGCTATCAGTTCCAGGATAAGAAAAAAGGCAAACGAAATTCTTCCAGACGAAAAAAGAATAAATTTATTTATAATTTCTATTAGCAGTTACTTGGTTTAGATGACCGGTTATCAAACATTAACCTAGTTTCTGTGTAAACTAATAACATTATCTTTTAAAAATAAGTGACTCTCAAGAGGAATGATAAACTACAGAAACCCCGTTTAATTCCGCATGTGTTGAGAATTTCGTTTTTCAATCTATTAAAACTTTTGTACTATTATTACATTACTTTAGCATCCTGGAAAAATGTAATATGTCACTTGCCCTGGTTAATCTCTTAAGCTGAATATCTCAAAACATAATAACTTTATAAGGAGATGTTTACAAAGACTATAAATAGTTTGTAAACTAATTTATTGCTGAACACATTTTTTAAGAAGGTTAATATTGTAAATCTCTTACATCTATTTAGTTATTTTTAATGGTTGATATCATGAGTCAATTGACGCTAGATCACCATGGAAAACCTGAAAAGCACTGTATGGCCGTTTCGTCCTAGTATGGGACTCCTCAGCAGCGCGCATCCACGATCCCGCCGCGAGAGATTCGAACCCAGGACCCATCAGTTCCGCAAGTGAGCGCGTGTCTAACTTCAACTAATCCACGAAATTGAAGTTAGACATTAACACCGTTGGGTTCCAGCTCAGTAGACTAGTGGTCAAGCGCTCGCACGCAAGACTGATAGGTCCTGTGTTCGAATCTCGCGGAGGGCGGGATTGTGGATGCGCACTGTTGAGGAACACACAATAGGACGAAATGGCCATCCAGTGCTTCCAGGTTTTCCATGATGGTCTAGCTTCAATTGACTCATGATCTCAACCAATGAAATTACTATTACATCCACAAAACCCCTTCTGACTTATCAAGTTACTTAAATTAAACTTACAACTAAACATAAGAGTGTAAAAATATGATATATTCCATTTGAATAAATTTCATGAGTAATATCATTTCCGAATTTTAAATAGTATCTATCATTAAAAACTGAAAATCTTTATCTTAATCAAGCTTGATAAACTGAACAAATATCATACTCTTATAATAAAGTGGAAATTTTGAAATTTGTAAATCTGATTTATGAGAGATGCTTTAATCAAATAAAAACATCTTCCATATGGTTCGGTTTATACGATGACAAATATATAAGGAGACTTTACAATGATATCACACTCTCGATATGTTAATGAAAACAATCAGTTTAAAATATTGATTTATCAAATATTTGCTATTTGTAAAACTCGTGGCAATGTCTTGTTATAGAGCATAACAATAAAGCTGACAGGCATATTGTCCGTTTGGTTTGCTTACTGATCTTATAAAACCTGATTTCTAAAATAATGATAACTAATAAACAGTCTTAGAAAGTATAATATTAGTTGTTTATTGGAAACGTAGCAAAGATTATAATCATTTTAACTGATAAAAATATTGCCATTTTATATGTAACAAAATGGAGCTAATAACATTAAACGAATGTTCGGAGTTTAATATTATCTTGTTCTATAAGATACCAGAAGTTCACACTACTTAACTGGTTAGTGATAACCGATATTTTACTGTTTAGTTCTCAGTCCCGATTACGTTTTGTTAATTTATTATATCAAGATTCCAGAGATCTTGAGGAAAATCCTAAGAAAGAACGAATCCTAGGTCTAGTGCTCTCTTTATTCATCTAACATGAAATGAAAATTGCCAAAAACGTTGATGACTTTCAAGTTTATTACTTAAACACTTTTAGTTGTTATTCACAAGTTTATCTCGTTCAAATCTTATTAATAAAGTTAATTTAATAACTTGCTGACCTTTTTTATAATAAAAGGGATTGACAATTAATGAAAACATTTTACAACAAGTACATCGTATTAATCGCAAACGACATTTCGTATTAAAAGTCGCCAAATGTATCAGATGGGAACCTCGCCAAGGAAAATACAGTAAGTCACTGTAAGATTTTCAAGTTTCATAGGGTTACAGTTTCTTTCTTCCTACTGATTGGAATAGTAAGATTAACAATTAAGATAAAGTGCCAGACTATTGCTATTGACCTTATCGTAAAATACTATTAATACGATCGCTTTATTTCTCTAGATTTATTGGTCTGTTGAACAGTAAATAGCTATGATTGTTTATTAATCAACAAATAGACTTTTAACTGGAAGTATATTTTAATCTAAGGTTTTATCGATATAATATTTAACCTCCTCAGGAAAGTTCTACTATATGAACGAGCAATAGATAACATGTTATTAATTAAAATTCTATAGAATATGAGTAACTGAATACTACAGTTTTACAGATTATTTACGATTATTTGTCTAAATATTAATCGTTATGTTGTTCTTCCCTACTTGGATATGTCGTATGTAGAAATTACTTGAACTTATATTTCTGTCAGCTTACGGCTTATTTAGCATACCTCTACGCAGAGATGATGATAACTAGCAGTGGAGTCCACGGCGTGCGTTTCGTCCATTTGGGACTAGTCAGCTGGATGTACCTGCATCCTGTGGTTGATGTACACTCCAGGACTCGGACCATGTACCGTCCACTTCAAACGCCATCACGTTATTCGCTTGGCTACTGAGACTGTAATCGATCAGTCTCTTATTGGTATGTATGCATTCTGTGCGAACTGATTCGATATCGCCTCAAGTCATAAGAGACTGATCAACTGCAGTTCTAAACATCAATGGGAAAATTAAAAAAAACCAATGCAAAAATGAATTAAACATTACTTCTGTTCGAACTACTTCATGGTAATATTTATTAGAATGAAAGATCTGCCGATCCGATGGACATGAAGATAGTATCACTCGTGTTCTGAGGGACATTGAATTCTAGAGAAAAATACTGTCGTAGTTTTTCCAGTCAATACTGTAATTTCTCAGTCAATTCAGGTCAATAATTTTGACTTCCCTAATAGAAATTCTCAACTAATTAATTTACACATAATTTATTTAGTAATAAATGTAATTAACATTAAACTATAAGAATTGATGAGTATCTTGTATTCTAAGTACTTTTGAAAAATTAATACGTTTTACGTAGTATGACAATGGACGACATAATCAGAAACACTCCAAGTGACATAAAATTAAAGTAATTAGTCATTATAAACAAACTTGTTTAAAAGTGTTGAAGGTGAATTTTAGATACATCGCCAATAATAGAATTATTGTATAAATTAGATAATAACAAACAAAATGTTTATGAATTAAATTAATCCTTATCGATTTTGGACAGATATACGTACCGACTACCAAACAAACTTGTAATTATCTGTATGCGGTTGTGGAGATTGTTGAGTTTTCAGTTGGGACCATTGGCCGATCCATGTTGAATCACTATTGAGAACCTGAAAGCACTAGACGGCCGTTTCGTCTCAGTGTGGGACTCCTCAACAGTGCACTCCCACGATCCCACACACGGGATTTGAACCCAGGACCATGTGCTCACTAATGACTAGCTTGATAAGGGGAATTCTCGGAGATCTAATGAAAAACCGTGACCAGTGGAGCTAATCCGTGTCAGGTAGAGACAGGTGTCTACTTCAGACACTGGAAGATGATCGCATCATTTCGTGGATTGGTTGAGGCTAAACATTAACAGTGTTAGATGCCGGCCCAGTGGTCTAGAAGTTAAGCGTTCGCGTGCAAGACTGAAGGCCCTGAGTTTGAAACCCACGAGCAGCATTGTAAATGTTCACTGCTGAGGAGTCCCACAATGGGACGGAACGGCCATCCAATGCTTCCAGGTTTTCAATGGTGGTTTAACATCAATCGCTTCATGATCTCAATCAAAATAAATTTTTTGCTGGAATCAGTCAGTATAATATATTACCATTTGAGTCGATCATTCTCTACCTTCAAAGTTTTAGGTTCAGCAAACAATACTTGTAAATGCGTAACGTTTCAGTGGGTAGATGAAAAGTTAATTATAGCAGCTTGACTGCAAGAAAATTTTAATAAGTGAATACATGTGGAAGATAGTGACTGTTAAAAATATTTATAAAACGTGCCTTGAAAAAATTTAATTTAAATGTATAATGAAGAAATATTTATGAACATATTACATGAATGATGCTGAGAATTCTTTACTGTAATGAAATATAAAATGACGAATAAACCTATTACTATTATTATCATTATTATATAGTGAATTGTATTATTAATATAGAGTTAAGGTATCATTATATTAAGTTCCTTTGGTATTATTTACTTGAATATTCTTATTGATGTTTAGGACTGTAGTTGATCAGTCTCTTACTGGCATATGTGCATACTGTGCGTATTGGGGGTAATTTAATCTCGTTTCAATATGTCCATGATGGTTTACCTTTTTATCAAAGAAACAAGAGTGAATAAATATATACGATATTCGGGCTTATGACACATTAAGTATATATATATATATATAGGAATCTTTTTAAACTGTCAACAAGAGATAATTTTTGACATAGAGACCATTTTAAACACCTTCATAAAACTGTGAAGAACCACATGTCACTGTTTTTTTAATAGATTGGTTCACATTAAAAATTCATAATAAATTTAAATCTCATTTTGATGAAAAGTTGATCAATAATTCTTTAAACTCATCATTTATGTATAATTTCATCTTCTTATTTAAATGTAGGTAAAACAGATCCAGTGACATTTTTAATAAATTACCTCAGTAGACATGGAATGCGTATATTAGATTTATACCATTTGTTAGATCCTCAACAAACTGGAGTGATAAGTGAAGCTCAATTCACAGAAAGAATGATTGTAAGTTACATAGGTTTATAACGATATACGAATTACGTATTATATATATATATATATATGTTTAGTGATGTATGAATATTATTGAAAATCAACTTAAGAATATGAAAATCAAAGTGAAATGATCATGACAAAACTTAAAAAAATGTAAATTTATTACTCCGATTTGTTTTTATTGACAAGTGTTAACTTCAATTTCTCTATGATTATAAAATACAATAAGATTCAAATGGAATGGCTTTTTGAAGGTTATACTGATTTGTAGCTATAACTGATTGAGATTAATCCTAATTGAACTATAAAAAAGAAGATATTGGATAGCTGTTTTATATTAAAACATACCAACAACATTCAGATCTCACCAGTGATTACCGAATGATGCATTCAATAAATTTACTTCATAATGAAGACTAATAGAATATTTGCAATTTGTTGATACAATCGACGATCTTAATAAGATAGAATGATTTTAATATTTAGTCAATAAAACCTTCAAATTCTACCAACAAAATTTTAATTTTTTGTTCAAAAAATAATATAAAAAAGTTAAGTTTATTTCGAATCATTCAGATGAATGACATAATAATAAAACCACGTATAATCCCTAATGTTTTATTAAACTATACTCGTTGTGAATACATTAATAACAATCATACGACGAAATGAATGCGATTGACTTAATAATATATATACAGGAAATGACCTTAAATACACCGTTCATAAATTAACAGTCTGTCCACTTAAGAAAAATTAAAAATTCCCGGCTGATGTATTGGATTACTGTAATACATGTACTACCTAAACAATTACTGAACTAGGATACTTAAAACTTTCTTCTATCACGTTTGTTCTTTACATCTAATGTTAGTATTTATATCAAATTGATTATGCCTGTAAACTGGCGGGAATTCTGTAATTATTATTTTCAGAATATATGTATATATTATTACTATTATTTGATCATATTTTTATTGCAGAAAAATCAAATTCCGTTAAATCCTGATGATCTCAAAATATTGATTAATTATATTGATTCAGAGAGAACTGATAAAATAACTTATAAGTAAGTCTTTATTATTAAAAGTTTTTATTATTATTAGGTAACAATCAGAAATAAATCGACTGTTATAATATTCCAGTAATTTTTAAACTTAGTGTTTGAAAGATTATTAAAGTGAAAGTTCACATTTAAAATTAAAAAAAAAGAATTTTTAGTCTTTACACATTCCGAAGCAATTCGGATGACTCTTCAGTTCTCCCACATTGTACGAGCATTCCATGTACCTAAATTAATAGTTGCTCTGTTTGTCTGAAGAGGCATCAGCCTCGTGATTTCTGAAAGAATTTGGCTTTTATGATGAGGCGTCATAACACTTTTAAATGAAGACGTTCTAACTCCCATGGCAGAGTTTAAATGGTTTTAGTTGAATCTTCCCATTGATGTTTTTTTTGGACTGAAATTGATCAGTCTCTTATCGGCATATGTGCATACTGTGCGTATGCCTCGATATTGCCTTAATTTACAAGCATTATAAGCAAAGATGGATAGTGGCTAGCAGTGGAATCCAGGACGCGCGTTTCGTCCTGGATTCCACTGCTAGTCACTATCCATCTTTGCTTATAAGAGTTTAAATGGTTCGAATTATTTTTTATCGTTAGCGTTTTTTGGCGATTTAGTTTTCTACGGGGTGGAGTCACTAACCTCATGTCTAATCTTCCTCCTTTACCTGGGCTTGGGACCAGCAGTAGCCTCAGAGGGGCTCCATGCGGAGTTTTTACACGCACATTACAATTTCAAAACTTTTCAGAATGTTCAGCTTGAACTATTCTGTTATCAGCCGTTGTGTATCCATTTGACTAGTCTGCTTTTATGGATATGTAGTCATTTGCTATTTTTGTTAAACTCCTGTATATCAAAAACTGTTCTTTGTTTTATAGTTTATTTCATTTAGACCATTCACATACTTAATTATCATTAATTATTCGGATATGTTATTCAAATAACAAATTGTTGAGTCTGTTAATGTCGTATCCAATTTTCGTTTATTATATCCTATTGTATTTCAATATTTCATTACAATAGATTTGACAATTTACAATCGTTTTTGTTACACTTTGACATTTATTATATTTCGCTGGAATATTTGTGTTCTTCACGAGAACATACGGTAATAGCAGCTTCTGGGAATATTTGTTTTATATTTACGTACTATCATTAGATAGTTTTATAATTGACTTTCAGGTTTGTGTTAGGACCCGAGTTATACCCAGTAGATTAATTATTGCTTAATATGATGAAAAGAAAGGTCAATTTTCGACTGAATTATTCATTATGAGTTTTATTCAATATTACATCCGTTTTGATTCAACATGAGGATTTGGTTGTTTTTCCAGTATATTTTCTTCTGTATAATATACGATATTCTTGTATTCACCTGACATGAACTATGCTCATTAAGGGATTTGTTATAACTGAGTATGTGATCTAATCTTAATTATTAATCAAAATGGGTGTATAATCAATACATAAACCAGTGTATTTTAGACTATATTCGATTCGTCGTTGTCATAGTGTTTGGGCTAATAAATCTTCATTTATATCAAACTTGTGTTCTTACTTTCGCATCGCTGGAATCGCCGTGATCCCTCGTTCTGAGTATAAATGATCAGCATTTTCTTTCCATCACACCAGCTTGTTAACATTATAATACAAAGAGACGTTCACCCTTTTTAACTCCATTGTTATAAGATAATAAGTAAGCAGATAAGAAAACTCTTTTATTTGATCGGTTGCTCACATTACTTTTTTATTTTTATTATAACAGAATATAGACCTGTTATGAATAATTTACTAGTTAAGAAAATATGTGTATTAGTCAGAGATTTTATTGATCTATTGAGATTTGATTAAAGCATTATTTCACTGATAGCGTCAAATACAATTCTGATTTCTTAATTTCAATAAGGTCAAAAAAAAGTCATCAATTTATTTATTCCTAATTATAATATTTTACATGAAGTTTGAATTTAGAACTTTTTCACTCTTTACTTACGTATGCTGAATTGATCCTTTCACAAATTCAGTTATTTACATTTACACAAGATTATGAATATAGAGGTTCTTTTAATGAAGTTTATTAAGCTGCATGAATAACGTCTTACACGTTATTACTTTTGGTTACTGTCTTTATTGTATTTAACTAAATGTAGTTTTCATTAATTTATTGATCAATCAGTAATCTAAATTATCGAAATATTTAGAAACCATGTAAAAACTCCTATTTGTCTTAGTTATTTTGGATTATTACAATATCAAAATAAAATCTAGTGATTAGTGAGTTTAACAAAAAGATTAATATCCAGATATTTTAGAATATCCCATTCAATGTGTTAGTGATTCGAAAAACAGCTTTAGATTTTGTTAAAATAATGTTGTACAAGTGTCAGAATAGTAGAAAACGCTAATTTGATATTGTATCTCGTCAGCTGGATGTGCTTGCATATCAGAGTTGATGTTCGCTCCATAACTCGAACCTACCATCGTTCGCACAATAGGATGAAACACGCGTCCTGGATTCCACTACTAACCACTATTCATCTTTGTTTATATTGGTTGTGAATTAAGGCAATATCGAAGCAATACGCACAGTATGCATATATGCCAATAAGAGACTGATCAATTACAGTCCTAAACATCAATGGGAAGATTCAAGCAAATAATGTCAAGTGGGTTGTAAAGCATCTTCTAATAAAATATCATAAAAAAACATAGTGATAATGTATGAAAATTTATTAAAGTATAATGACTTCAAATGTCCCATAATTTTATTAATTAAATCAAATTCAGTGTATAAATTGAAAGAAATAATGAACATTGAGTAATGCATAACATTCAAACAAGTTTCATAGAAGTTAGTAGGAATGAAATCATGTCCATTAAAAGGTAAAACAACATCAAAATGAAAGAGTATGAGAAAAAAACTACGACAATACAAAGAAGGTTTTCGTCGAGTCTCATTCCTATTCTTTCTCAATAACTGAATAAATTTTATTCGTTGTCGAAGAAGTAATTGCTAAATCCTCAACGATTTCAGAAAGTTAATGTGAAATAAGTTGGGTTGGAAAGATAAATAAGATTCATTCAAGATTTACATACGTTCTATTAATTAACTTTCAGTGTCACAGTCAACTCATCATTCTAAGGTATTTTTATTTAACAAAGCATAATGTTTTAAATTCAGTGGATTGTATTAATACATTAGAAATGAATATTTCTCTTAAAAATTTACTAATGAGATTTGATTATATTCCACTTTTATTTGTATTTTCTAGACTGCTTGCAAGCCGAATTTATTATTTTCGAATCAGTGTTGGTGAACAGTTACGAATTAAAGCAACCGAATTGTCAAAGCATCAATTAGATCAACACAGATTATTTGTACGTCCAGAAGGACCAGATATAATTGACAAACCACCAAAAGGTAACACTTCGAAATGATTCTTATTTTATAAATTTATTTTTTATGATATTTTTGATAAAATGTTGAGTTACTGGTAATTACTTTCAGACCTAATATTCAACATTAATGAGCGGTAAGTCATTAATGATGGTAATGATTTTTATTACTCCGCCTTTAAAATTCAGAATTGAATTAGGTCATTTGTAATTAGCTATTTTCTATTAAAAACGTGACTTGATAATTCCTGTATTTATGTTGACTCATCACCTTAGTTTTCATCAACTTAAACCTTATGTTTTAGTTATTGTGAACTATTTAATAGTCTAAATGGGAACATCAACTATGGAATTTAAATCCATCCATTAGTGAATTTCCAGTTGGGTCGAAAAGCGAGTCCAGGATTTATCTGTTAGACATTATCCATAGTATAATCTTTAAAATAATCGTCAGTCTATTTGCAAAATATACAAAAAATAGTCTAATCAAAACTATGAGACGTACTCTTTGAGTAAAAAGTGAATAATTATGGTATTGTGTCTGATTATATGAATGAATTAATGAGTGGAAATGGATAAGTATCAATGAACACATGGCAGCAATATTCAGTGATAATACAAACGACAATTATCAAGATATTCCTAACATAAGTTTCATGGTATATTACTGATGACAGTAAACAACAGAGCATAGACTGATTACCTTTTTCGAATTTATCCACATTAAAAATCTCATATCTTACACATGTATTCTAGTAAAGACAGATATTAATATTGAACTACATGGGTACTGTACTACTGCTGAACTGTTTTCTTAAGAAACTCATTCGTTGTCTAATTCGGAATCTAGACAATTTATTCTACAGTTCAAGATAAATTTAGATTATGTAGTATACAATGTTATCTTTCTTGTTCATTAAGAGTTCTTGAGTTTACCCATTTATTGATTTCCATTACTCCCTTTAGATTATTTATTGATATATCCTGTAAATAATTACTTTTATCAACAATGCATAAACAGATGTTAATATGTTCTTGGACTTTGAGTGAGGATGAAATCCTCGACAGCTAATTAGTTCAACATACCAATCACTGTAGATAATATTGAGGAATTTGTTCATTGTACGTATTCCTAAGAGAGATTAATCAAATGTGGTCCTGGATACTATCAACAAGACAATAAAAACCTTTAAATGTTCTTGAAAAGTTAACAGTTATTCTAAGACTCTGGCACATTTGTGTAATCTGCTACTGCAATCATCAGTCTCTTATTAACGTAATCATAGCACTCACGTTTCTTTATAAAATTACTTATTGGGAATGTTGAGATACAAATAGGCTCATATTATCCTGCCACTATTATAAATATTGTTCTGATGGAAAGTCGTAAATAGATAGACCATAAAGAGAACTGGTGGAAATGGAGATACAAATTCTATAAGCTTACATCAGTTAATCCGCCAGTAAATATGATCGTAGGTAACAATACGTGAAAACTGAACTAATAGTGCTTATCTAACGATATTTACATTATACCAAAAACCAAATTAAAAACAAACTAAATATAAGCATTTTGATGACGTAACTTAAGCAAACTTCTCAGTCTTCAAATCCTAACAAAATTATGAAGAAGTCTAGCGGCAATCGTTGGACAAATTTAAAACAATCGTCTGCACACGCTCATATTTCATTATTCTTTAAGAAACTTAAATTCGCTTTCTTACATCCTCATACTTGTTGCTTTGTAGGATTTCCTTCTAAAACAAAAAGATCTGTTGCTAATTCAAAAAAACAATTATCCAAAACGTCAAATGCAAACCTTATAACGGATCCAGGTAAAAGTAGCCGAAACTTTGCAAACGGCCAAGAAAAAGTGTATCCGAAAGCAAATTCTAGTGACGAGTTGCAGAAAGAAAAAAATGATCTGCCCATAAATTATACAGAAACTTTGAAAACAAAAGAGAGCAAACCTAATTGTGCATCCATCATCACTAAAGTATCTAGCTATGATTCAGGTGAAATTTTAGACCGAATGAAAAAGTTGGATCATGGGAGTACATCAGATAAACACAAACCTTTAAATATACCGAAATACAAAGATTTTGGCAAACCAGTTAACGAAACTACAGTTAATTCCAAACTTCATATTATTCCAATAACTGAAGTTTTCGATAAGAAATATTTTCAAGATTTTCTTTATTCGTAATTCATACACAAAAATATAAAACGGTTATGACACACAAACTAAATTAATCATGATTCGCGTTTCGCAAATACTTTAAACGTTTTTCTGTTTGTTGAACGAATAAGTCATCTGTCTGCTCCAACCTCATTAAGAGCTAACTGTATAAACATAATAATTATCAAAATGTTTTCACATTTAATTAGATTCATTACTTAATTAAACCTCTTACCCCCTTGGAATGTAGGCCATCGACCTTAAATCTCCAACCATATCTATCTTAGGCTTTCCTTGCCAATCGTTGCCAAGTCCTATTCATGTTTTGACATTCGTCTCCATTTCTCGATGTCATCCGGTTTTTGCCGGCCTCATTCCTTTCTGAATTACATATTAAAAGTTAGGACTTGCTTTGTGGTACAGTTTGCTGATTTTCATAATGAGTATTCCAGTCTTCTCCATTACGTTTTTTAAATTCCTTCTTTAGCTGGTGTTTGTTTGATTCTCTGTCATGGTAGGTTTTTGCTGATCTTGTGTAGAAAGCTATGTACAAATACCTGAACATATTTGGTGATGGTTGTGTTGCTTCGCTGATTTTCAGTTCCTCGCAATAGGACTATCTTAAAGTTTGCGATGAAAAATCTGATCCACTTCATCTTTGCATTTACCTCTATATGAAATCAGACAGTTCTTTAATACTTCCTTTTTCATAGCTTTTTCTTTTGTTGTTGCCCGGTTTACTAAATATTTTGTTTATCAGCTTCAATGCTTCTCTTTACACGCTTGTTTGCCTCTGCGTATTCGGCTCATGTGTTGACTTTATCTGCTCCTGTTCAAACACTGTCTTGTTATTCTTCCCATTTTTAAACTTAGGTTATACACAGAGATTTACACCTTATTTTGGTGCCTGTTCGGCGTGAAAACATCCTGCAATGTTGAACTATTTGACTCTTTAGTCCTTTTCTAGTCGCATTAGAAAATGGTTTCCTTTTTTTTTCAGCAGACCTTGTATGGATTTTCATCTTTTGCAGAGAGATATCTTGAACTTGCTGAGTTATTTTTAGCATTTTGAAGGATAACTGTATTAAACTTTCGTAATGTTGCTTGGGCAATTGTTTAGCGCTTCTTTAAGGTAAGTTTTAGATTAGTCACAACCAGGTTTCGATCTGAAATTATATAAACTCCTCTCTTTTTTTATATGTTTGTTGTACCTTCTGAATCCATTTATTTCTTCGTAATGTGATCTGGTGAAACGTGTGTGGCTTCGTTCATTTGCTTTTGTGGTAAAACTTTGCTGCATATAATCATGTTTCCGAATGATGATGGGTTTATCGGTTTATTTCCATTTTTATCCATTTCCCCTGGCCTCCTTATGATCCCCTCATACTAACTGTTCTTCATTGAGGCGAGAATACAGCAGCATCTTTCCTGAAGCTAGATTTTTCTTTCCCACTTTGATCTGATTATTTTCACACATTCCAAGGAGAACACAGTCGTATCTCCGCATTTCTGCGACTACCCGAATGGTTTCCTCGACCCCCCCCCGATTGTCTAGGCATTCCATGTACTTATATTAACTGTAGCTTTAGCCATGGAGAAGTACAATGGCCTCATAGCTTCTGAAGAATCTCGACTTTCATTAGAAGGTGTCATAACCCTGCTTTATGAAGATTCTTCAACTTTCAAGACAGAGTTTAAATAATTAAAATGATTTTTTTCTGATTAGCATTTTTTAGTAAGTTTCTTGCTTGTAATGTTGAGTTGACAGCCTGACATACAACGCTCCATTTTTACCTGGCCCCAGGAGGTGTTAATCAGATCCATTAGATATCAGTAAATTTAAGTTTTGTTTTCTAGTCTGCTTTTTTTACATGATGATAAATACAAGATGATTGTTCGAAGTATAACAGTTGATGTTAGTAGAATTAAGAAATACATGCATAAAGCTTAATAAAGCACGTTTATGTACAATCAAATGTATCTGTAACGTGATTGGTTGGTAGTTACTGTACAAATGTTTGATAAACAGTTATCTAATTAAATATTTAGTAAAGCCTATTAGGTGTGTAGCTGACCAATTAATATTTTTCAATACAAAAATGAATTTGTTGACTAACAAACATTTCGACATACTACTTTCATTTAAAAAAAATTAGTAATATGTAATTTTGTCTCATGTCTATTTTTTTCAATATCGTACATGGATGATCGTCAGAAATATTGATGTTGATAATCAAACATTTGTATCATATTCATTATCATTACACTTAACAAACCATCAACTATAGAGATAAAATAAGCACAGTGAAACAAGATGTGCAGAATATAAGTAGTGTTTAATTACTCATTAGTTCGTTTCATAAATTTACAAATATGTATTCAGTTTACTCAATATCCTGTCTTATCTCCTCTCATAGATCATAAGAGCTTTGATTATGGTTAATGATTACATCTAAATTATTTTAAGCTAGTATAAAGAAATAAATGATGAATTTTATTGTAATCTAAACAATCACCTTGCATACTATGTAAGAAAAAAAAATGTTGCCTTCATTCAGAATGTGTTATTTATAGAAACTATAAAACTTGGTAACATCATACTTTTGAAACGATTGAAATAAAATTCCACGTTTCCTATAACATTAAAAAAACACACAATTTAAAATGTAGAAGAATTATTATGATTGTGAATAGTGTAACATATAGTTACACCCAGTTGCAAATTTTTTTTAAATTGTTAAAATAAACTATTTGTTGAGTACCAACTTAAGAGCATTAAAATACTTGAATGTTGTGAGTTGCTTTCAATTTCAATTTGTAGAATAAATAGATTAGGTGAATTCATATTTAACATTCACCAAATTTAGTTGTCATTCATTTAATATTAAATTATGTCAGAAAAAAAGTTCCACAGAGATATAGAATGAATGATCTTGAATGAAAGATCATATTCCGTAGAAAACATATTGAAATAGGGATTTTTTTAATTAATCTGAAGTGAATTAATAATATAAACACAATCATAAGGTTTAAACATTATGACAGTTTGTAAATTCTCAAAGTTATTGATTCACGTGAATGACTGGTAAAGAAGAAAAGCAGATATTTTTAATATAGTAATATTGACTACATTTATTTGTATATTTTCAGTTGGAAACACAATGTTTTATAATATAGTACAGTTTATTTAGTGTCTTAAGCTTAACGTTGATTCCATTTTTTGCTTGATACACTCAGTTACACGTGAATCTTTACATCTCTTCACCCGTCAGATTATACTATGATGGAAAAGTTTCTATATAAATGTAAGCGCATCCAATATACAGATACAGTAAATTATTTGTAGTTGATAAATGTTACCGAGTTAATCTATCATCAATGTAATTGATAGAACAGAACTAACATACTAAAAACTGAAATCTATGTTTAAATTATTCATTAATTTTAATCAATGGGATAAAGCAATTCTATGAAGTTTAGTTTGTTAAAATGATGATCCATGTTTACAATTTCAGTTTGACGCTTTTATTATTGATAATTTGATTTATCCTGTTTTGAATGAGTAAAAATAATGTAGGGTTGACTAAATTTTGCCACACTTATATTGCTTGTTTAGAAGTTTGTATTATTTGAATGCAGTTTTCATCACAGACTAATATCAGCTGATAAATTGTAAAGTACTGGGAAACTATTTTATTTTGGTCTTTAACCTGTCAGAAACGTGTGTCCACAACGCTCTCATATGGGATAGAATCTCAAACATCACGACACCTTTAGATTACATAATAAGAACTCAACGGTTCACCTGCTTAATTTCACCATTTCTATGAAGTTCCACAATTCTTAATGAAGATTAATGGATCTAAATTTGATGGCTTTTATTGTAAATCCTTAGGATCCTACCTTTACCTACCCGTGGGACATTTCAATAGTGCCCCCCTTGATAATAATCTATGACAAAAACCAACCGCAACATGAAACCAGTTTCTACATATCACTAGAATGAACTATGATCGTGTGCTCACTATCGGCTATGTCGTGAAGTTTCGAGGCTTTTTTAAGAATTCGAAACTAGGTGAGTTCACGTATGTCAGAACTGAGGTAACTACCCATCGGTGTTGTTGAGTAATGCAGCGTTACTCTGCGAGTTGATCGAATTTAGAATATAGGCTATTGGTTTTCAACTCAGTAGGCTTAGATGTAAGCGCTCACCATTTGAAAGTCTCGCGTTTGATCCTAGATGAGGTCATATGACTGTAATTTTGAAAAGCTTCATATTTCAATAAGATAGCTCCTTGGTCTTTACTCGTTTTTAGTGATTTTGCAATTAACATCAATCCTTGTCGAAAACTGATTTCAAGTTGTAGATATATTACCATAGAAGAAAATATACTTATATTATTTAACATGACTTGTTTTCTTGTTAAATAGTCGATGTTAGTGTTGCTTAGATGTATTTGAGTTTGTAGTGAAAATAATTATTTCAGGACAAAATTTGCGATGTAACTTGATTTTACTTAAATGATAATGTCACCTAAGATAATGAAAAGTTCTGTAAATGATTGAATATATTTACAATGAGGTTAGGAATATTAGTACACTGTTAATGTGAAATTTGACGTAGCTTTCACACTCAGTGAAATCTATGTCAAGTATCATTACCAAGGTTTGACTTGATAATTTTGAATAAATTGAGCATTGGGTAGATTGTTATAAATAAATATTTGTAATATCCCAATGAGTGGCAAAATTAAATTTTCTGACGTTTCGTGACTCAGTGTAAGCCGCTCCTTCAGAGAACAAATAACCAAATCAAAATTAATCCAAGTTTAAATAGTACAACAGAACAACATAATAATATTATGTCATAATATGAATCTACATCTTATAGGTTGAAACAGAATGCAGTAGCAGTCAGAATTTTACAAATCAATGACCGGTTGAACATTTTGTGATAAGACTTATGGTTTCCAAGATATATAAAATCAAGGAGTAGATGTGGTGCATTATGCACTCCAACGATGTGGCGCCATAAATATTTGAGGTCTTATCCCAGTGACAGCACTGTCATAATATAACATAATATTCTTGTGTTGTTCCATTACACTATTTAAACTTGGATTAATTTTGATTTGGTTATTTGTTCTCTGAAGGAGCGGCTTACACTGAGTCACGAAACGTCAGAAAATTTAATGTTTCTACTCATTGAGATATTAGAAACATGTTAATTTATTTTTATGTCAGATTGTTGTTTAGTTTCATTCATAATACAGAAAAGTATAGCACGTTATTTATCAGTAACATTTATACTGGATTCAAAATTATTAATTACAAACTGAAAATCCTGGTTTGTGCAACTTTAGTTTGCCGTTTGCTAATCTGTAATTAACTGCGCTGTTAAATACATTTATGCATATATTTTATTCTGTATCATTTTTTCAGGAATCAATTGTTTGGTTCAGTGTGTGAGGACAGTATACCTAAAAGTTTCATTTGATATATGAATGTCACTTTTATATCAGTGATGTCGGTTTCATGTTCAGACGGTTATACATTTATAGGCATAAATACTAGAAACGAT